CTTTTTAAATTGTCCATGTGTACTTTCTCATGATTTTCTGTAGAAACTGTCTTAATAGCTTCGTCTACTTTTGTGATAGTGGTCGGTTTTTTAAATTTGTTAGTTTTTTAGTGTTTGTTAGTGTTTTTTCACGTAGATTTTAGAATTAGATTCGAACATTTCTGGGTTTTCGCGCGTTTCATTAGATTTTGAAATAACCTTTTTTTTCGATTCAATATTCTTATTTTCACTTCCGCGAAGAGTAATTTAGTTTTTTCTCGGTGATCATGGATTTTCATTGGTGATATGTCCATTAACTAGATCGATTTGTTTTAATTTCGTTGCAGAATATATTGAGTGATTATATGCAAGTATAGCGTTCACCATTTTCGTTTGAGGCGATGTTTTGGGAAATCCTCTACTATTGAGAAGTCTAATGTGTTCAATGAGAGTAGAGTGGAGTCTTTCAATTTGTATGTTTGATTGGGGATGATTGGGTGAGCAGAAGTGTACATTTACTTTGTGTAGTTCGAGCTTCAATGACTGTGTTTTCAAATTCAGATCCATTGTCAACTATAATTTGGATAGGTACGCCATGATGTGAAAATAATATTAAGTTTGTCAGCTATATCGGTAGGCAATGAAAAGGGAAATGAAATACTTGCGCGTATTTTGAAAAACTGTCTATAATGGTAAGAAATACCTAAAGTATGAACGTCAATGTGGATAATTTCGAATGGTTTGGAAAATAATTTGATTTTGACCAAAATTTACTGGGGTTTCTGGAATGGGTATTTCAACAATTGGATTTTTCTCGGTATTAGTGTGTACGGTAACGTCATCAATTTCTTCAATTGGGTTTAGTTCATGTTTTTCAGGAGTTTGAGTAGTTTCTATGTCGGCATTAACTACCATATAAGTATTATCTTAAAAATGTTTACGTATTTCTAATATATCCGAAGATGGTTGGTAGTCTGGAGTATTTCAGTTAGGGTTAACACTATTTTGGTTATCAAAAGTAATAGATGGATCGGCTAGACGTTCGGACTCTCCGATCTAGTTCTTCCCAAAAAGTCTTTGACTCTTTTGTGTATAGTTCAATGCGTGAAAGTGCATCAGCATTCGTATTGGACGGACCTTTTTTGTAAATTATATTATATTCATATTCTTCAAGTTTAATTTGCCATCTTAGCAATTTAGAACTCTGGTCTTTCGTTGAAAATAGCCATTGGAGTGGTTTATGATCCGTGACTATATTGAATTTCCTGCCAAAAATGTAAGGACAAAAATATTTGGTTACCCAGACACTAGCCAATAGTTTTTTTTCTATCGTGCTGTAATTTGATTTGGAGTCGTTTAAATCCTTGGAGCATATGCTACCGGAGGGTATTTTCCAATAGGTCCTTGATTCAAGACCGCTTCCAAGGCTACGGTTGAGGCGTCCGTTGTTGAATTGAACGGTTTAGTAAAATATGGTACTGAAGGATTGGTTCATTAATTAGTGAATTTTGACAATTTTCGAAACACGATCGGAATTCTTTGTCGTTGATGATCTGTGCACCCCTCTTCAAGCTTTTTTTGAGTGGTTCCGTTAATTTTGCAAAGTTATTAATGAATCGTCTATAATATCATAGCAGTCCTAAGAATCCTTTGATTTGTTTAGTTGTTTTTGGAATAGGGAAGTTCTCGATTGATTCAATTTTATCCGGATTTGGTTTGACATCGTTTGGAGTAACAATATGGCCAAAATAAGCCACTTCTTTTCATAAAAATTCTGACTTATCAAGTTGGATTTTGAAGTTTGACTCTCTGAGTCTGCGGAAAACTGCTCTTAACCTTTCGATATGGTCTCAGAGAGATATGTCATCTGAATGAACTGAGCATTTTCTATTTTGAATACCTCTAAGGAGATTCTCTATCACTCGTTCAAAAGTCGCGGGAGCATTATTGGGACCAAATGACACCCTAAGTAACTCGTAATGCCAATTTTCGGTATTGAATGCTGTTTTTTCGATGTCTTCCTCACGCATTTCAATTTGGTGAAATCCGCTGGCAAGATCTAAAGTCAAAAAATATTGGCATCTACCTAGTTTATCTAATAAATCGGTTATATTTGGCAAAGGGTATTTATCATTAATTGGTTTTTCATTAATATTCCGGTAATCTACAACTAGGCCTTACAATATTTTGATCTAACATTTTTTGAATTTTTGTTTAGACTTCTTTTTTGTGAATGAAGGAGTATGTCTTAATATAAACGGGTATTTCGTCAGTCGTGTAAAGACATTACACGATTTTTAGTTTTATTTGTAAAAGTAAGCAGTTCATCCTCATGGTAAAAAATATCGAAAAATTCCAAACATAATTTTTCTATCATTGATTTTTCTTCGACATTCAAATGGTCGGCGTAGTAGCGTAGTAGTTTCAAGTTTCAGGTTTCCAGAAACATCAAATGCCTTTGAAATGGGAATAAGAGCACTATGTTTATGACAAGATTTTTGAAATACTGCTGACACTATGAATGGATCATTTTAGATTCTATCGGGGTATAGATAATAAGATAGATTTGGATCAATAAAAGATTTGGTCGAACCTGTATCGACTGAAAATTTCAAATTATGTTCAAGTAAAGTTATAAAGGGTAATTCACTAGAATTACTTGAATCTGAAGATATTATCACTGGTTCTTCGTTTGACTGGTGTGTTGACTTATTCATTGAATATTTTCATCAGGATTACATTGGGTATTTTCGAAATTTTTATACTGACCCTGGCTTTCAACTTCAGAATTTTGTGAATAATATTCGACATCATTCGTTTCTGTATTGAAAAGTTCCTCTGAGATAAAGTACCTTTGTTGAGGTGTACTAGGAAATGAGGGACCTGGTTGATTTATGTCGAACGTTTTCCTTGTTGAAACAGTCATAGGTGTTTGACTGGGAAGATTTCGATTGAGATTGAGCTTGAAAACGTTCTGGTTATTAGTGGGTTGTTCAAAAACTTGAGAATTTCGGAAAAATATTTGTTGTGCAACATTAGTTCTTGGTTGAATATTTAAAGGCTGTGAAGGGAAATTTTTCAAAGTATGGAATTGATTATTTGAAGATCAACGCATCATCGGAATAATCCACAAAATTTCTATACAGTGTGTCTTTTAAAATATTCCGAATTGTGACATTTTGAATATTAACTACTAGTTTAGCATTCCCTATCAGTTCAATTACCAAACTGTTCAATAGATATGTATTTTGGAAAGAAGATAGTCAAGCTATCACAAGTACTTGAGATGAATTTGGGTTTCCATCGAATTGTGGAACGCAATTTGAATATTCGGGGTTGAGAACATTTGCTATTTCTGAAGAGTTTGAAATATTCAATTCTGAGTTTTGGTTATAAAATGTATTATCACTATTGATTGGAATTGATTGAGAAATGAAATTAGTTCGATTAGAAAAGGGGTTTACAAAAATTCGATTGGTTCTTGGATTTGGGTTGGAAATTGAATTGTCTGAGTCAGCTAAAGACAATTAATGAAAAATATTATCAAGCGACATAAAACCAGAGTACTCACAATGAAAGCAAGATTTTGGTAACAGCTTTCTTGACCACTATAAGGAGTCTGCCTATCTTGTCAGCATCTGAAACAGGATGGTTGTACTGCTAGATAAGCGCGATTGTCCTAGGTGGTGAGATAATTCACGAAAACTATTATCATTTGAATAATTCAAAAACCTATTTATGTTAGAAAAGAAGTGTGATGCATTGAACTAAAATAATAAAACAGCTTATTTTCCGTTATTTATTCTGTCGCTCACCTAGACATACCGCTCATGGTACGTAGATGATATATGGAAGAGTACTATGTTCAGAGTGCTACACTAACAAACTATATACAGGATGTCACATGAATCATCTGATTTGAAAAAAAATCCTCCAACAGGTGATACGGTCAATGTGACTTTGAGATAATGTTTTGGATTTAACCTTGAATGACCTTCATTCACTTCCCATATTTTCACGACATTCATTGATCCATGTGATTATTTCGACTTTGAAATGACCTCAACACACGTCACATGATGTCGACAAGGTGACTTTGAAGAAGTCTTTTGAGTTCGACTTTGAACGATATTCATCTACGTCACACCCTTGAACTATGTCAGAAGGAGATACGGTCAATGTGACTTTGAGATAATGTTTTGGATTTAACCTTGAATGACCTTCATTCACTTCTCATATTTTCACAACCTTCATTGATTCATGTGGTTATTTTGACTTTGAAATGACCTCTACATACGTCACATGATGTCGACAAGGTGACTTTGAAGAAGGCTTTTGAGTTCGACTTTGAACGAGCTTCATCTACGTAACACCCTTGAACTATGTCAGAAGGTGATACGGTCAATGTGACTTTGAGGTAGTGTTTTGGATTTAACCTTGAATGACCTTCATTCACTTCTCATATTTTCACAACCTTCATTGAGTCATGTGATTATTTTGACTTTGAAATGACCTCTACATACGTCACATGATGTCGACAAGGTGACTTTGAGGAAGTGTTTTGAATTCAAACTTGAATGACCTTCACCTACGTCACACCTTTGAACCACGTCACACTGAGAGTAGTGTGACGTACCACGACCACAATCGTATCATATAAAAGACGAGTTGTGATCGTGAACGTCGTCATTCAGTACATGAGAGCGCATCGAGATGAATTCCGAAAAAATCGCAGCTGTAGCTTGAATTTCGCTTTTCTTCTGAAAGTGTTGTCTTTCATTAGCATTACGGCTAAAAATATACATTTTTTATTAAATAACTTATCTATATTGAATTTTATGAGAAAAATAGTTACGACAAAAGTTGTATGAAATGAAATGAAAGACGAAGAATTTTTTTCCACATTGTTTATTCCAAGATTACAAACTGCTTCTTCTAACCTTCCAATATCTACCAAACTAATTTGAATGTTTATCTGTCGTCATCGTCTTCGAATTGAAATTTAGGGAAATAAATGTTGATTATGTCACCATGTCGTCAACTCCTTTCTTGATCCGCTTCTGAAGATCCTTCACACAATTGCTAATGTGGGCGACTTCCAGCCGGTACTGTTTCGTTGAATCACCCTCAACACGGTACTCCTCATTGACTCCGACGATGTCCTGACTTCCCCTTTGAATGTTGGTTTCCACCTCTGACAGTTCAGCCAGCAAACAACTTTTCCGTTCGACTAGTTGTTCCTGTCGAACCACAAATCGTCGCTTGCGTGTGGCAATCTCTGCCAATCTCCCATCGCTGTCCCGGATCACTAGTAGCTTCGTCTTCTTATCTCGGTATATTCTGCCGAGTTCAAGCACTTGGTTGACTAAGTTGCAGCTCCTCTGCGGTGTCGGTAAGTCCATCTTGCTGCCAGAGGGTGGGACGGAAGTTGCCCCCTGAACAGTTGGCACAGGCATCGGTGGCGGAGGTACTATGGATCCGGCTTTTGGTAGATTATTCGGTCCGGTTGTGGTCTCTAAAAATATGGTGGTGGGCATCGGTGGCGAAGGTACTATGGATCCAGCTTTTGGTAGGTTATGCGTCCCAGTTGTGGTCTCTGAAGATGTCATGGTGGTGGGCATCGGTGGCTGAGGTACTATGGATCCGGCTTTTGGTAGGTTATGCGGCCCGGTTGTGGTCTCTGAAGATGTCGTGGTGGTGGTTGGCTCAATGTTTAATACAGTGGATGGCATCTGCGATGCCGTCGGTGGCTGATTTTTCGTATTGACCGTCTCGGACTTTGAAACGGTGGTATCCAACGTAGAAGGGGCTCGCCACAGGGTCGAGGTCATCGGCGGCTGCCGATAAGTATTCCTCTCATCCCATATTTTCATATATTTCCAACTGCTTTGGTTTCACCTTCGGCTCCACCTGCTTCGACTTAGCGGCGGACACTCTCTTCTTAGTCGATTGGGGGGCAGCAAACTCATTATCGCTACCGCTCGCTGCCACTCTCTTGTTGGCCCTCTTCGAACCCTTCTCCGCGTCTTTGCTGGTGCTGCTCGTTTCATAAGAGGAAGTGGTTGAACGAACATCCTCCATTCTGCTACATCCAGGTCTTGGAGTCGTCACCATCACAGGTTCTCCAGGAAGGGGGCTGAGTGGGAGTTTTACATGGAATTCCGTTAGGAAGTCCATGATATTCCCTGGTAGCTCTGATCCCTGCACCAACACCACGTCTTGCAGGATATTCAACTTACCCTTCCAAACTGGAAATTCACAAAATAATTAGAATGGAATATAATACTAGACATTAATAATATATCTGAAGAATGGTTGGTTGGGTAACAGGATCAATTTTTTCTCAAAGAAACAATTGTTTTCTTGCCAACGTTTCGAATTTAATTGAATTCTTTTTCAGGGCTTTGTAACAATGTAGTTTCATAAACATACCTCCCACAAAAACTTATACGATAAGTATCGTTTCTATTACTTACCGAAAAGTAGTNTTATACGACAAGTATCGTTTCTATTACTTACCGAAAAGTAGTTTCTCCGTGTTGATATAACTATTTTGAAAAAACATTAGACATATTAGATACATTTAAAAATAGAATAAAAACATTGCAACAAAAGCGGTAAATTATCTAGGTGTTCTACTTATTGAATTGAAATATGCCTACTTGCAACAACAAAAATTGCAACAACTTCAATAGAACACCAACGCAAAGGGACATGAATGTACAGACTCCAATTACTTTTGTTATAATGGAACTATTTACAAACAAATTTTTCGAGTTGGTAATGGGTAATTGTATATCAATCATTTGTGCAGATTTGGTCATGTCAGAACTACAAAATATATGCATAAAAAGTTAACAAACAAAAAAACACCCCAAGACATGCAATCTAATGTAGTTCTGGTGCAGGTGTTTTCAGTCGCAGACCCAGGACAGAGTTATCTACATGCCTAGAAACTTATGCGACTGTATTTCAAGCAGAAATTTACGCTATTGAATTGTGTGCAGAGAGATTGGAAGAATCCAACCTCACTCACAAGTCAATAAAAATATTCTCGGACAGTCAAGCGGCGTTGGAAGCTCTTGGCTCCCACCGAGCAACATCTGAATTGGTAGCAAATTATCAAAAAAAAACTCTCCTCGATAGAAATACTAAACAGATTGTCTCTGGTCTGGCCATACTGGCCTGGAAGTCAATGAAGCTGCTGACTCTTTTGCAAAGGAGGGTGCTGCAAGCGGCTTCATTGGACCAGAACCTGTCATTGGCATCGCTTTGGGCTTTGCCAAACAAACACTTAACACCTGGATGGTAAGGAGAGTTATGGACTTCTGGTAGAATCTTCCAGGATTGGCTCACTCCAAGGCGTTTATTCACCCTTCGAAGCTTGATTCCAAACAGTTGTTGGACTACAGTAGGGATGAACTTCGTTGTCTAACAGGCCTTCTTAAAGGTCACTGTCATTTGAATCATCACATGCAGAGACTTGGAGTGTCGGAAGACAGTGTGTGTCGCCTCTGTCTAGAAAATGATGAAATTGCAGAGCATATACTTTGTGCCTGCCCCGCTGGGGACCGAATCAGGTTCTTTGTGGTCGGCAGATTCGTACTCTCACCATCTGACCTGAAAGACCACTCACCATACAAACTAATCGGCTTCGTTTAGAAGCTGGGTTTATTTGGCTGATTGTGAATAGGTGTGAGCCACAATAAACCCTTATGAGTTGCGGTGGAGGGTCGAATAGACCCAGTCACTTTAGACCTACCTACCTACATCACTTCATAGTTTTGGCCTATAATATCTAGTATGAATTTTACCTATAGTTCTGTTTATACCTGCATGACCACAGGTTGAAGGATCGTGATTTGCGTAAATGATCTGCTTCCGCTTGTGTATTGGAACGACAATCAACCAGTCCTCAGACTCATCCAGGAAATATCTGCAGTGAAATTTTGATCTTATCGCCTTCAACACTCCACAAAAAATACTTTGAAGGGGAATGGCGCATTTGCTTCAACATGCCTTGATACCATTTGGCCGTTTCAGATGATTCTATGAACACCTTATCATTATTGAGAGGTGTCAGTACATGTTTGATCTAGATAGGGCGTACGTGACCATACTCGTATGTTCCGTCCCTTTTTGATATTTAATATCGAGGTCATACTATTGTTAACAGATCTGGCTATTCTTCCTATGGGGTCTTTAATACCTAATAACCATTTCAAAGAATAGTCAACACTGAGCTGGGAACGAGTACCTTTAAGATACGTGCGCAGATTCTCGGCAGCAAAAAGAACCGTTAGGTATTCTTTTTCTGTCATGCTAAAGTTCAGTTCACATTTTGTCAGGGAACGGAATGGAAGCAAATGCTTTTTTTCTTCACTATCTTGGATCTGCGGAAGTACCGCTTTCAGGCGGCATCTGTTTGCAATATGAACAGCAAATCAAAATTTGGGCATGATAAAACTGCTGCCGCTATGAATCTGACTTTGATAGTTCTGAAGGCCGTCTCACACAGTTAATTCCGAATAAACTTTAGATTCTTCTTCAATAAGTTAGTGAGAGGAGCGAGAAGAGTCAAAAAATCAAGTATGAAACGCCTGTATCAGTAGGTTGATCCTTCCAAACGTCTAAAGTCTAACTTATGTTACGTTCTTTGGAGTCGGGATTTGGACGATGACCCAGTTCTTCTCAGGATCTACCAACATACTTGATGAATTAACGACGTAGCCTGTATCAAGAAGTTGATCCTAACAAACGACTGAGTCTAACTTATTCAACGTTCTTTGAAGTCGGAATTTGGACGATGGCCCGGTTTTTCTCAGGATCTATCAACATTCTTGATGAATTAACAACCTAGCCTAGATACCGTTATTCGGAGTAACAGAAGTGGCACTTCTCTCGATTCAAAGTTGAGCCTGCGTCTTTGATCCTGCGAAACTTTGATGTACGATAGGCATTCAACAAAACTGAAAAAGTTTTCGAGTAAGTACGACAAAGGCAGTAAAGGTTCTAGACACAAAAAGTATACCATGACAAATGAATGATATGAAGTTCCCATTGATCTATATATTGTTGGAGTAAACGAAGGTAAATGAATGAAGAAATGATAATAATGAACGACAAGAGAACCTGTGAACAAAAAACATGCTTACTCCTCTAGAGACTTCCAGCCAGCCCACCATTCAGTCATCAGAAATTTACCACCAGCAACGAAACGTTTTTCTTATTTGATGTGATACAGCAGCTTAAAGACTCATGAAGTACTCCAAAAGACCCAATCAATAGTTTTTTGTACGAGATATTGTCAACTGTAAAATAATCTCTCCCATACTTACAATATTTAGCAAAATCCGAGATTTCTTCCATAGTCAAATAGTTTGAAACTTCTATCCAAATGCTAGTTCAACACAACTACCACCGCTTCTTTCAAGACACAATGGAAGAATACTAAACTAATTTCGAAGGTTTATACAGGGCCGTTTTCTTTTACTGAACCGACTATTGATAGCTTGTTCAACAGAATCCATACGCACTTACCAATAAACGGCTAGTCGTTTTCTTGCAGTAATATACTTCCTCCAGAACATATTCTTTCTGTCATGTACTTTTTGAGTTTCTTGAGTAGATTTCTGTGGCTGAATCGAAAATATTTTGAAGTCAACCATTGTTGATACTAAAAATTCTTCATGCACGTCAAAAACATTTGAGTCAGAGCACAATCAAAACTTTATCTCCCCAGTTACAGAAAAAACTGATACGGTAAGTTATTGAAAATTCATCACGGAGATCGCTGGAGGTTAAGGAATACGAAAAAAAAATCGAACATTCATACAGGCATTGACAAACATAATGCATAAGCAATGATATTTTTTTACAAAAGAGATGTACAACCGGTATGAAAATTCTTCCAATGATTCCGAGGTTATTGCAGATAAGCCAATTCCTCATTGTCTATGTGCTTAGTGTCCTCCTCAAGATATAGATGAACCAGTCATATATAGGGAATACCACGCCAAAAATTTTTTTTTCAATTGTTCTCGCCAGTAGAAAAAAATCAGTTTCAAAACTATATAATCGTAGCGTTGTGTAGAAGAAACCTGAAATATATTGAAAACTAACATATAGAAGAATTGAAAAGCAATAACCGACTAACAAAACTGAAAATAAATGAAAAGAAATAAAAATATGTAATATAAATATAGATGGAGAAATTTCATGGAAAAACAGGCAAAAATATGGTTGTTTGTATTTCGGATGTCAAGATTTTTGCTGGACAGTTTACAAAACTGAAACACGCGTTTCTATATACAATACAATTGCTTTCCTAAGTGTTTCAAAAACGATGTTAGAGACATGTTTCTCTTGAGATCTCTTTTTATTATAATTGCCTGAGAAGTCTTGCTCTACTTTGAAATTGAATTTTGTAAAATTAATATTCAATGGACATACTTGAAAAGCTTGAAGAAGCTTGTGTATAGTAAAATATAAAGACGTGTTGTGGTTTTGTAAATTGTCCAGTGAAACTCTCACAATGAAATTTTACTTGAATACATCATGGATTTTCATCAACTATCAGCCAATTCCTTCACTTTATTGCGAGATTTCACTAAAAAGTTTTACAATCATATAATGGCTTCTTCAGGCATAAAGACACACATAGTATTTTACATTAGTTCTTCTACATGAATACAATTTACAAAATTTTGTGAATGAATCCACAAACACTAAAATATGTCTTTTCTCTTCATTCGTTGTAATTTAATACAGTTACGGAATCGATGACTACATATTCTAATTCTGAGTTAACATAGTTGTTACTTTCATACTG